TTTTCCTTGGGCTCCTCCCCTGCCTTAGCAGTGCTGTGGGGTTGTTAAGACTTGCCAGAAGACTTCCATAAGCACAATTTTGGGACTGTCTTTGGATTCCAGACAGTTCAGGGATTGACATGCCCTCAGACCATGGGTGCCACAGGGGTCCTGGACAGTGAGGCTTGTCCTTAGAAATGGCATCAGGAAATGAGACCCTAAATTTGAGCCAGTCTGCATCAGAGTTACTTCCCTTCTAGACTGTGCTGTTCTGACCCTGGCTGCAAATAATATTTTACAAATTCAGGTAATTTGGCCAAATGTTTCACTAAAGGCTCTTGCAGACCCCCAGGAGTGAAGCAGTGCTAGATCTGTGCACTCTGCTCTTCAGTGTGGCCTTACACCACATGGAAAAGGAAATAAAGTGCTCAAAATGAGTGAGGGAGAAGGTTATGTATTTGTTGGTGCATGTAAATAGATGTGCGTGTTTATGTGTGCATCTGTATATAGATTTAAAATTTAACTGTGAAAAGTTGTAGGAAGGCAGCATGACTTTGAATGACTGGCCTCTAAAATAGCAGATGGAATTAAATGTAGATACATGTGACATTTTCTGCATGGAAAGATATGAGAATTCTTGATTTATATTTGCAGTGATGCCTGAAATCCCTTCTGATGAAGAAATCTTGGTGTTATAATCAGATCTGAAAAATCACATTAGCCCAATGCTCACTTGTTGTAAACCTCAAGTAAGGTATTAAGAATTATTAGAAAAGCAAGAGAACAAAGCATTGTGTGGGTGTGTAAATTCAAGGTGGAATCTCTTCCTTTCATCCTGGATATTGTGTGTGCTTCCTGCTTCAGAAATACCAATTAGGGCCTGCAGAGAGGTAAGAAACAAGGATGCTCAGAGTTCTGAAGCAGCTGAACTCTTGGCTGAGCTGTAGCCCATGTGATACTTTGGGCTCTAAAAGTTGGTGTAGATTCCAAAAGTGATGGGGCAAAGCCATGAAAGGGGAATTTGTTGAGGATTTTTGCACACACACATATTTGGTATGTTCAGATCCTTAAACTGCACTTGGAGTGAACTTGGGGTGGTGGGAGGGGAGAGCAGCTCCAGCTCACCCTGATCCTTCCTCAGCCCTCCTGCAGGCACCTGCTGCTCTCAGCCTTCTCTGCTTTCACAGATAACACATTTTCATGCTGTGGGGTTGCTCTGCCTGGGTTTTTTTGGGCCATGGTGTTGATGTGTTCCGTGTGCAGGGTTTGAGATGGAAAACGTCACTGAGGTGTCCTCGGTGCTCACAGTGCTGGGGTAGTGATGGTTCAGTGTCTGGGGAGGAAATCAGCTCCAGAAACTGAGCTTGTGACTTCTGACAGATGGAGGAGGGAGAAGAGAAAATCTTAATTTTGTTTTTTTTAAACTCCATATGCTGGATGCTGCTCAGACCTGCAGTTTGGATAACTCAGTTCACCCTTCCATTATTGTTAGTACCTGCTCTCACCTATGAACATTTTAAGGAATGCCAAGTTTTCTCCTCACCTGTTTTTTCTCTTCTCTTTTTCTCTTGCTGCCATCCAGAATGCCTAAATTCATGTTGGTAATTCAACATCAATGCTTCTTTGCACCTTTGCAGTTGTTATATTTGTGCTGTCACTGCTTCAAGGAGAAGAAATCCAGTCAACAGCACACAGATTGCAGGTGGCTCAGGGTAACTGAGGAGGGAGGAACTATTTTCCATGATGCAGAACACTGTCAGAGTAGCTAAAAATGAGATATGGGTGCAAGCATTTTCTGTGTGTGCAGTACTTGTATTTTAACATAGCACAGCACATAAAGCCACCTGGAAACTTCTGTTCTTCACTGCATCCAAAATTACTATTTATTAGTCACTGTGGACCCTCTATAATAGCTTATTAAAGAAAATCCTGTTAAAATAACATTTAAATTAGTGCAAAGACTGATTTGAAACAGCACTGTGTTGTGAATGGCAGAATTGTCAAGACTAAAAACCAACATGAAGGATTTTTTCCCTAGTAAAATGTTTCACTATGTGAAGGGAGTGGCCATTTTTCAAATGCATTATTCTATCCAAGTATTCTTAGAAGGTTTGGACCAATCAGCATTTTTTGTCTAGAGATTTTTGAATGTTGATTTAAAGAATTTATTGTCTCTTTCTATAGTAAGTAGAGATGATACAAGTATTAGTTCTGGAGTGGTTTTGGTGTTCCCATTGATCTGTTGTGAGTTAGCAATTTAAGCACCCTGCTGTAATTGATACCTGCACTCAAATGAGATAATTTGCCCTCATATTTTTAAGCAGAGGCTGAAAACAAGCCAGAAATTATTAGCAAGGTTTCTGTGGCAGTAGCTGTAGGCAGCAGGACACAGAGCTTTGTTCCTCCTGTTCTAATTTCAGCATATTTCAATTTTTAATGTCGGAAAGGAGTTCTCCTTGCCAGGATTATATTGCACCTACCTTGCTTGTGCTGCAACACCATTTTCTCTGAGTGCTTTGAAAATATCCTTCCCAACTGCCCAGGTATCCTTTGGGGATTTCTAGAACTGTTGTTGCAAACAGAATATGACATTTTGAGAATTAGAAAATTAGCCTTTTTCTGTAACTTGTAGCACTGGTGGCCAGAGTTCTTCATGTGTTTTCTGTTTAACTGGAATATTGATAAGTGGTGCTGGGTTGGTTTCAATTTACAGATGTTTTTTAAAGTAATGAAACACTTCCTTAAGCACTCAAATCTCTGCACAGTTCTGACTTCATCCTGTTATCAGAGCACTTTTTAAATTGGTGAGAGTCTGTAAAACCCATTTAGTTTTTGATATTGGTACACTTTGCTCTTGATAGCAATTAACAACTGAACCTGGGCAGTGCTCACTGCCCTAAAGTGGAAAAGTATTTTGGCAAATATGGATATTATGGGACTTACTAAAAATTTCACCTACCCTCTGATTTTTGGATGGGGAGGGGGTTGATTTCCTACCCAGAGCAGGAAAGAAATACTTCTAAATAAGCATTATCTACAAGCATGATAATAGATCATTAAAACATTTGGTGAACAAATCAAGTATTATTTAAAACATTCTAAAACTTTTCTCCAACTATTTTATTTTATTCCTTTTTATTTTAGTGTATTCAGGAGGTTTTTTTTCCTTAGGGGAATCCCTAGATGTCTTAGGTGCATTTCTTTTCTCTAAACTATTGCTTTCAACTACAGTTTTCATACTTTAAAGATGCTACACTTGCTTTCATTCAGCTGTATGTAATTTTTTACCACTTTGGGGTTATTTTTATCCTGATAGACCAGTAAACAAGTTGAAAGTCAAGGCCAGGGCTCCTGTTTCTTGAGAACCACCCTTGTTGTTGTAGCCTCTGTTTTGTGTCTTCTGTCCTCCAGCAATGCTGTCAAACTCAGAAACATCTCAGAGATTTTCCTGACCCTTGCAGGACTTGTAAATGTTCCACCCATGATTGTGTAGTTGTGTAGAAGCACTACAGGAGGCATTTAGTGCATCTCTGGTTTTTAAATCTCTTTGCTTCCTCCGTCCTGAGATGGATTTTAGCAGTGAGTTATTTTGTGTAATTACAGTATCCACCTTGGATGTTACTGGGAAAACTCTCTGTGTTGTCTCAGTGTGATTATGCAGAGTTCCAGGATGTCACTGTAGTCACACAGGAGTCTGGCAAGGAAAAAATGTGTTAAAAAAGAAGAAGAGCAGTCTCAATCTGCTGGAAAATCTCAGTAATCTTAAGACTTGATAAAGATTTCTGTGTATAGAAACCTTACATCTTCAATTGCAACAATTGAATCTTAAAATTCAGTTGTTGTAATCTGGAAAACCAGGTCTGTACCACATGAATTTATTTTTCTCTTGTGTGATTTTTTCCCCCATTGTCCCAATGTAATGACTGGAAAATCTCAGTAATATTAAGATGTGATAAAAATTTCTGGATATAGAAACCATCCATCTTCAATTCAGTTGCTGTAATCTGGAAAACCAGATCTGTACCACATGAATTTATTTTTCTGCTGTGTGGAGGTTTTTTTCCCATTGTCCCAATGTAATATCTGGAAAATCTCAGTGATCTTCAGACTTGATGAAAATTTCTGTGTATAGAAACCTTACATCTTCAATTCAGTTGTTGTAATCTGGAAAACCAGGCCTGTACTGCATGAATTTATTTTTCTGCTATGTGGGGTTTTTTTCCCAGTGTCCCAATGTAACATCTGGAAAATCTCAATAATCTTAAGACTTGATAAAGATTTCTGGGTATAGAAGCCCTGCATCTTCAATTCAGTTGTTGTAATCTGGAAAACCAGGTCTGTACCACATGAATTTATTTTTCTGTTGTGTGATTTTTTTCCCCCTATTATCCCAATGTAATGACTGGAAAACCTCAGTAATCTTAAAACTTGATGAAGATTTCTGTGTATAGAAACCTTGCATCTTCAGCTCAGTTGTTGTAATCTGGAAAACCAGGTCTGTACCACATGAATTTATTTTCCTGCTATGTGGGGTTTTTTTCCCAGTGTCCCAGTGTAATATCTGGGAAATCTCAGTAATCCTAAGACTTGATAAAGATTTCTGTGTATAGAAACCTTACATCTTCCATTCAGTTGTTGTAATCTGGAAAACCAGGTCTGTACCACATGAATTTATTTTTCTGCTGTGTGGAGGTTTTTTTCCCCTTGTCCCAATGTAATATCTGGAAAACCTCAGTAATCTTAAAACTTGATGAAGATTTCTGTGTATAGAAACCTTACATCTTCAATTCAGTTGCTGTAATCTGGAAAACCAGGCCTGTACTGCATGAATTTATTTTTCTACTATGTGGGGTTTTTTTTCCCAGTGTCCCAGTGTAACATCTGGAAAATCTCAGTAATCTTAAGACTTGATAAAGATTTCTGGGTATAGAAGCCCTGCATCTTCAATTCAGTTGTTGTAATCTGGAAAACCAGGTCTGTACCACATGAATTTATTTTTCTGTTGTGTTTTTTTCCCCCAGTGTCCCAATGTAATATCAGCTTGAAGAAGCAGAGGAGTCGAAGTATCTTTAGCACCTTATTCTGCTGCTTTCGTGACTACAATGTCGAGCCACCATCCACCAACAGCACCAGTGCTCTGCCTCCTTTGGTGGAGGAGAATGGAGGACTTCAGAAGGTCAGGATTTTGTCTTATTTTGCTGTCATGTGGGTGGTTTGTAAGCAAGGATTAATTCTGCTTCGAAAGGTTTGTCCTGACAGACTTCCCTCGTGAGATACAGGGAAAAAAATTGCTGGTTTGATGGTGGATTGTTAATACTGTCTATTCATCTGTGATATAAAACTAATATTTCTGTTGTGGGTGTTGGCACTTTACATTCTGTAAACAACCAACATTTAAAACCTGACTAAGACACTAAAAATTGGAGACTTCTCATAAAATTTCAACTGCTGAGTTGTCCCCAGCTTTGGTTCCCTTTCCTGATTACAGGAGAGTTAAAATGTGTTCCACTGGAACATAGTGGAACCTTCTGAACATCATTTTAAAGGGTTTTCAGTGACATAAAAACAAATCAAAAGAACCATAATTATTTACACCTTTTTTTCCTAAGTAGTCTACTTATATTATTTAGACCTTTTCTTTCTAAGCAGCCACTTATATTCAATACACGCTGGGTCCAGGGATAGCAGCTTTTGGCTATTATTTTTCCAAGTTATTAAGTTTTGTTTAATTAGTCAAGTGAATTTATTTTAGATGCAAATACAGATAGAATACAAACAGTGCAACACAAATTGCTTCTTTATAAATCTGATAACGCTGAGAGCATTTGTGTTATGATCTGAAGAATTTCAGTTCAATATGGCAAATCATGCCAAGTTTTCCATGCAGTTTCCAGGACTCTCAGATTGCAGATCCAGGTGAATCCATGGTGGAGAATAATGGCAGAAATGGAGATGTCTCTGAGTTTTTTACCCTTTTGCTTTTCACACAAATTTTCATGTCTGATGCAGCTGATTCCTTCCTTCCTTGTCTAGTCCATTTTATTCTGGTTTGAATTCTGCTGGTTATGTTTGAATTGTGAAAAGCTCAGGGGAAAGAGCAGGGAACTGTTTGGTGGGAGAAAGAGAGGGAGAGCAGATGAAAGTGATGGAGATTTCTGTGTGGAGGTAAAGGCTGAACTGTAACAGTTCCTGCTGAAACTGCACTCACAGAGGTAAAATGCCCTGAAAATCCTGCCAAGAGGAGGGATTGTACATGTATTTTTAGACTTCTCCTGCTAGCCAAGGTACATTTTGAGTGAAAGGAGGGAAATCTGGCCTGGATGTGCTGAAGGGAAAGCTGAGGAGTGTGTAACATGTATGCACACATTCATCTGAGGTTAAAAAAAAAAAAAAAAAGGGATGGGAAGCTACTAAAATTTCCTTTCCACTATGCTGGGGAATGGAAAGCAAAAAGAAGTGAGGCTACTGGCAAAACTACAGCCGAGAGAAAATGGAACTCAATAGAAACTAAAAAATAAAACCAAGTTTGTTTTTTCTGTAGAAAAACGTGAGTCAGAATGGTCTGGAGTCAGTAGTGTCCAGATTGCATTTTGAAAAACAATTATTTTTAAAATATATCTTATGCCTTGAGAGCTTGATTGGGTGTCCACACAGGTTTTCATCCTCACTCTGTGCTGCCTCACTGAGCAGTTCTGGAGCTGTGCAATACTTGTACACAAGGCCAGGACAAAATCACAGCATTCCTGAAATGACCAGATCAAAGCATACAAAATTTTAAAAATTCAAAGAATATATTGAAGAGAATTTAATTGAAGTGTGCTTTCTTCAGCTGAATGAAAGGCACTCAGATACTCATATTTTTTTGAAAAAATCAACATAGCTGAACTTTCAGGTGGTTCTTGAGGTAAAATAAGTCTGTGACATTGCTATTTTAGATGCTGTATTAAAGATTATTCTCTAAATGTGTTTATACTGTTTTTATTTTGAGTGCTAACACAGTGTAAGTAAGTAGGAAAATCCTCTAAGGAAATCAAAAGAGCACTGAAGACTTTTGAATATTTTGAATATTGTTACCCTGTTGGGCTGGTGATTTTTACCAGGAGAGCTGTTTCAGAGCTGTGCAGGCTGCTTGAATTTGGTGGAGTTACACTGAGCATCTTGTCTAGATTCAGAAATAAGAAAAGTGGGGGAAGCACCAGTGGGCCTTGGATTCTAAATTGGTGAAATAAAATGTCCAGGAATGACAAAATTGCCTCTCAGGAAAGCAAATGAAACCTGACAACCCACTGCTTAAATTCCTCTGCTGTTTCATTAAATCTCCTTTTTTTGCATTAGTTTCACTGCCAGGTAGGAATTGTTTAAATTCTGTTAAGCTGCTGCTCAGATGGTTACTTGGTTAAATCTGCTCTCTTTTCTGTGTTTTATTAATTATTTATCACATCACTGCTCACTTCTGGCTGGGCCCAGTCAGTTCATGTGTTGTGACCCTTTCTTTAGAAAATGGACAAGGAAAATTGCACAACAATGTCAAGCAGTTACCACTAGAAATGAGTGCAAAATGGCTTGGAGGTGCTTCCCTCATGTCTTTGCTGCTCAGTGGAGTTGGTACATGAAAACTGATGATAAAGCTTCAGAGGAAGGGAAGGAATGGGGGAAGCTTCTGCTGGTTTCACTGGAATTCAGAGTTCTCTGTTGCTTCTGGCACATTCTGAAGCTGATGTGATAAGCCAACTTCCTTCTTATTGGGAATCTTGATTTTTGTAAATGCTGCCCTGTTCAAAAGGAGGGAAAGTGGGGGAGAAGGGTATTTTATGAAGTAGTTGAAAACACAGCACTGAAATTTTGTTCAGAATAATTGGGATGTATGAGACAATTCTTACTGTTGTTATTATTTGGCTCTAGTAGAAAATATTAAATCATGCTTCAGATTAATCAGTGCTTCATGAGGTGACTTGATGGTGCTTGACATGTCAAGTGTTCTGTCACTTCTTCATGAGGTTGCAAGAAACACCAAATTGAGCATGGTTTTGATTAAACAGTTACTTTCAGTGCTGAATTCTATTGTGTAAATGGGAGAAAAAAAGCCCAAAAACTTCTTTAAAGTATTGAGTTCTCTTTTAAACCTTCTACTCACAGAGCAGCTGCTTGTCCAAGTGTGACTCTAATACTGGTAATGAATGGTCCATTCTGTCTCTGAAGTTTCAATACAACATTTTTTTCAATAATAACTTGTATTTACTGAAACTGTGGCATATTTGTTTTCCTTCAAATGCAGCAGCTCTCCAGCAGAGCAGAAGATGCACTGTGAGAGGTGAGATCTGTGGGTATATCAGCCTGCCTGCAGCTCAGATGCTGAGCCAGATGTGTCACTGGCAGCACAAAATACTCAACCTCATGAACTCCTTTATAATATTTTCCTGCCTCTTCTATAGCGGGCAGCTCCCCAACACCTTCCAGCCACTGTATTTTTTTTCTTGACAGTGTTTGGAGAGAGAATTGTGTTTTGTTTTCTTTGGTATAAATTCAAATCTCAGTTTCCATTCTTCACTTAGCAACTTGACTCAATTTTTGTGTTTTCTGCCTGTAAGTTTTTTCTTCTGGGTAAGTTTGTTACTTGAGTTTTGAGGTGTTTGTGGATACAGATTTCATTTATTCAGACTTGAAGGGGGAGTCCACATAGATAAAGGTGAGAAAAGCAAGATACAAACTATTTTTTCCCTTTGCTTTCAGTCCTGGTGGGTGAGGGAGCCCTGACAAGTCTGTGGGCACTTTGTCATTTCACCCCCAGCCCACTTCCACTGGAGTCGACCCTGCTTTTGTTTGACAGCAAGATCCAGATCAGGCAGAGGGCTCCAGTTAATGAGGGGAAGCATGAATGAGGAAAGGGATTTTTGCACATGCTGGGTTAGAGGGAAGCTCTTGATCCACATGCACCAGGGAAGAAGACAGAACTAAGAGGAGGATTTTTCTGGGGGCAGCAGCTGCTCGCTCTGCTTTTCCTGTCACTGAATCTCCTCCTCACTCCAGAAGTTGTGGTTCCTTCTCCCCACTGCATGATGCCATCATCTCCCTGGTGATGTTGGGAAGCTGTGTAGGTGCCCTGTGGTCGTGTCTCCAACACTCTCCTCTGCTTCAGGGATCTCTGTTTATAGCACAGTACAGGGAAAAGGATCTTCTCTCAGTCCCTCATGAATGTGGCCCAGCAAAATGAGGAAACAGCTTGGAGGGAGCACGTTCTTGAGGCCACAGTAGCATCTGCTTCATGCTGGAGACCTCGAGGAGCAGCAGGAGTGTGGGCTCTGTGATGGGGACATCATTAATGACAGGCTTGCTGAGCAGAGGTGGGAATCCCTCTCCATGTGGAGGAAGATGTTTGAGATTGATGTAAATCATTGTGCTTTGTCTCCTGCTTAACCTTGGCTGATCAGAGCAGGAAAATTCCCCCTTTGGTTCTGTTGGTCACCATCGAGATGTGGTGTGGAAGGTGTTTAGAAAACAAGATCTCCTCTCCATTCCTATTCAGAGATTCCCAGAATGACCAGGTTGGAAGAGACCTTCAAGATCATTGAGTCCAACCCAGCCCCAACAGCTCAACTGAACCCTGGCACCCAGTGCCACATCCAGGCTTTGTTAAACACACCCAGGGATGGGGACTGCACCACCTCCCCGGGCAGCCATTCCAGAACTTTATCACTCTTTCTGTGAAAAACTTTTCCCTGCTATCCAACCTGTATTTCCCTTGGTGCAGCTCGAGGCTGTGTGCTCTGGCTGTGTCAGTGCTGCTGCAGACAGAGCCCAGCCCCAGCTGAGCACAGGCACCTTTCAGGAGCTGCAGAGAGTGGTGAGGTTCCTCTCTTTGCCCACTCATTCTGATCTCCTCCACCTCCCAAAAAGTCTCCTTTATTTAGAGACAGCCTGAGAGTTTGTCACATCATTTAAGTGTCAAATAATAACTGTACTACTGTTGTAAAAGAGCCTGTCATGGTCTAGAGCAAGCTAAAGAAACAAATAGGATGAATCTGTTACATTGGTCAGCTTCTTCTCTAAAGTGAAAATAGCTCCTTATCTTTCAATACAGACTCTGGAAAAAAGCAAAATATTGTGGCCTGTCACTTGGTGCTCATTGAGGCCACACATGACCATAGGCAGTGTAAGTGAGGAACACAGTGCTGGAAATTGTTCTTTCAAACTAAAAATTATGCAGCTAAAGGAAAAGATAGGATTTATCATTCCATCTGTATATAGCATGGAAAAAATAAAACCCATTAAAAAAACCCCTGTATTCAATGGCTGGGGACAAATCAGTTCCTGGGTTGTCTTAGGGACACAATAGGGAAATTTTGGCATTCTAGGAACCGCTTTGTTCTGTTACCGACATCAGCAGCTCGTGGAAAGCCTTCAACAAATGCAGTCATCTGTCATCTCTTTCAAACTCTGCTGTTTGACCCATTTCCCTTCCTGTTCCAAGGCACTAGGAAATGAGGCAGGACCTTGTAAAAAGTTTCCCAGAGCAGGCTTTGTTTTTAAAAAGCATTTGCCTGGTCATGAACACTTTTGCTTTCCCAGCAGACTCTTGCACTTCTTTCTGCTTGTTTTTCCTGTTCTCATCTCTCTTACTACTGTTTTGATTTTTGCATAAGTATTTCCAGGGTTCCTCTTAAGAAATTTGACTGCTTCTCCTTTTTAAAAAAATTTAATTTAAGAAATTCTTTGAGAAAAATTAGGCAAACAATAATGCAAGTCCTTTAGCAACTTTGGTTTTAGGTTCCCATGAAAGTCAGTTCCACTAACAGGGCATTAATATACAGAATTATCTTGTTTTTTCTATTCTTTTTGCTGTTACCCTGAGGAAAAGTTGTATTCTCACCAACTTTTTTGTGTGTGTATTTTTCTAGAAATCATGTACTTTTTACTAGTGCCAAGTTTTTGATAGTTCATGGTAGTTGTTCCTTCAGCTTCTCAGGATTTTGGGCAAACTTCAGTAAAAAAAATTCTGCTGAGCAACACTAAAAAAGAGCACTTTAAAAATAATAAAGAATTATTTCTGTTTGTCAGTGATGTGTCAACACTGGTAGACTTGAAAACAAATAAGCAGGAGGTTTCTTCAGCTGGAAGAGGCTGTTCTAGAATTGAAAACAGCCCTGTCAATATTTCTCTGCTGGAGATCAGAGCCTGTGTTGCCCAAATATTAAAGAATAAAATCGAACCCAAGCAACATCTGTGCTAGAAGGATCAGCTTCCTTTTTTTTATGTGCTGTGCCCACCAGAAAATAAAGTTGGTTTTGAAGGATTACATCAGAAAATAGAATTCTGGCTTCGGAAATCTCTTAGATATTGGAGTGAGAGTTTGAGAAAATAGAATCCTGGCTTCAGAAATCTCTTACATATTTAAGTGAGAGTTTGAGAAAATAGAATTCTAGCTTCAAAAATCTCTTAGATATTGGAGTGAGAGTTTGAGAAAATAGAATTCTATTCTATATAGAATATCTTATATATTTGAGTGAGAGTTTGAGTGAGAATTGCCCATTTGAGCCAGGCTTTGTCCATTTTGGAGCTGTCCTTGTTTCTGGATGTCCAAGGATGAGAAGGAAGGATCAGGTTGGCCAAGACTTTCCTGCCTTCTCCCAAGGGTGGTGCAAAAGTGGGACCATGGGAGCAGCACTGGCACTGCTGGATGGAAACATTGGAATTCCTTGGGTTAATTTAACATCATCATGTCCTTCTCAGACATTTTGCTCTTGCCTGAGTGAAAATGCTGATTTTTCAAGTCAGTTGTCTCAAATGAAGGTGGGTTCAAGGAGTGGGGTTCTGCCAGGCTGGCTCAGCCTCTTGCTGCAGTGCAAATTGACAAATATACCCATTCGTAGATCTTAAAGCTGAAAAGGTTCCAGTAAATACAGGTACTTTCTTACTGTCATCTCTTATTAATCATAGCATGGGTTTTATCAGTCCAGTCTCCTAAAAATCATAAATGCCAGTGTACTAACAGATCATTTCAGCAACTAAAATGCAAAATCCTGTTTTTATTTTGGTTTTTTTTTTTTTTACCCTGGTTTCTTGAATACTTGGAACTTTTGGTTTAAAATGTTTGAGTGCTACATTTACTGCTCCAGACCTTTGTTCTACCCTTTAAAAGCCATTACCCTTACAGTGATTTATTTTTTTCTTTTTCCCCAGGGTGACCAGATGCAGGTCATGCCTATACCAAGTGTATGTATTTTTATCCCTTTTTCTTTTAATAATTTTCATGACTTTTGCTTTGATTCATTTTATGTTGCAGTCTTAACAGGTCTGATTTGTGTTGCATGTTAACAAAAGGATTTTATGTTCTGTCTGTAATGTTGTATCCCCAGAGGTGAACTGCATGTCTTCTACAGGGACTGAAAGAAGGGTTTGGGTTTTATCTGGGTTTCTTCTGAATTTTTAGCATGTTGAAAACACATGAGGTAGTCTGAAAATTATTTATTTTAATAGAAGCAAAAGGTGATTCATCATCATTATGTGAGACACAATTACAAAAACCTTTTCCTCTCATTTTCCTCTGCATTCCAGTTGAAAGGAAGAGTTGGAAACTGCATAATTTATTTGAAATAAGTCACATTAAGAAAACAGAGCACACTGACTGTTGCTCATCCCTGCACTTGTTTGAGATGATGCTCTTGGGATCAGCTGCTGCTTTATGAGCCTCAATATTTCTGTTTATCTTCCCTGGATTAAACTTGGAATGCTGTTTGGCATCTGAATTATTTTTCAAAGCTAAATAAAAGGAAGAAAAAAAACCAAGTCCTTCAAACTGAAGCTTTTAATTTAATTAGTTTTAACCTTTTTTGGTCAAAAAGCTGCTCTTTTTTTTTACAAGGATGAAGGCTTAGGCTTTGTAAAGCTGAAAACACTTTTTTTCTGAGCTCCTTTGCTGTTTACAACACTTCATCATTGCAGAGTTTCCCAGCAGACAGCAGTGCTGATGTGTGGAGATAATGACCCAGCCCTCTTGTTTGAGATATTTGGTAGCTTTTAAAGACCTGGATATTCCCCAAGATGCCATTCTTTATCTTCTTTCCCTTCCTTCTCACGTAGCCCAGCATTCCAAATCCTCCTGTGAGAACCCCCCTGTCTGTGCTGCAGTGCCAGGAGATCCCTGGGACTGGGCACATCTTCCCTCTTCCAACAGCTTCTCTGGGTTTGGGAACTGTTGGAAATTCCTCTTTATTGCTTACCTGTGATTTCTGGTGTGGCTCATGCATGCTGTGTATGCAGGCAGGCATGGACATGCATGTGATTTGTATTTCTGCAAGTCTAGGAATAGAAAAACCTCAAATGTAAATCAGAAAATGCTGATTTCCAAACTACTTTTCTTTTTTACATACCTGCCAAATTCTGTTAGGTGGCTGTAGTTGCTCCACTAGGAATTATTGGAACATGAAACATGTTCTGGCTGTGCTCTGACCTGGAATAAAACCTTTCCCAAGAGTGACTGTAGCTACTAACAGAATAAGAATTCAGACAGAACAAAATTTGGGAAGGATTAATGAGTAGAGCTCTGACAGGTACAGAAATTAAATCAGATGCTTTGTTAGAACATTGTCTTTGCAGTGTTAAAGCAGTGCTCTCTTAGATTTGGGCAGTGGTAGGAAAATGAATGATTCAAGAAGGGACATCTTTTTTTTCCCCTCTTTTTTTTATTAATTTTTTTAAGCTCAGCTGTAATTTTGCAGACACATTCCCAGCACTAACCAGGCAGTAAAATCAACTCATCCCTGCAGCCATGCTGTGGAGTTCTGAGCAAGCAGGTGACTTTAAACCCTCCTTCCCCTTCTCCAGTGCCACCTGACGCCTCTCCCTGCAGCAGGACAGGGCAGTGCTGTCAGGCAGCCGTGGCCCTTGGGCACTCTGTGACATTTCCTGCCAGGATCAAAGAGCTGCAGCCTCCCAGGAGCCAGCCAGCAGCTAAATAAAGGCACCAGGGAGCTGCACGTGCAGGGAGTGCAGGGAAGGAAAATGCAGGCTCGTGTTAGGAAAAACACCTAAAATTGAAGTGTTGGTCTTAGGAGGGGTGTTGGTCCAAGACAGCTCTGATGTTGTGGTTCAGACCCATTAAAGCAGAAATTTTTGATTTTCTGCTACCTAGGGATGAGGAATGGGGCTGTGTGAGCTGCCTCTTGTACAAACCAGGAGAAAAATCTTCTGAGCAGACACAGAGCTTGGTCACAATTCAGTGGACATTTCCATGTTACAGGACATTTACATTTACTGGTTGCAAATGTCATCAGTTCAAGTGTTCACAGATTGCCTGAGTGGCTCTAAAATGAGCTCTGCCCACTCCCCACTTTCACATTGAAGCCTCCAGTCAAAATATGAGGATTTCTGGAGCTTTGTTGTGCTTTTTATTGTGTATTAAACCTGGCAGTGTGCTGAGGTCACCTGTTTGAAAGCTTCCATTGCTTGATGTGCAGTTTGCATTGCTTTTATTTGCATTTATGTGTGCAGTTCAGTGAAGTGGATCTTCTGCTCAATCAGATTTGTCCTGTATTAATTGAACTGAATTGAAAAGTTTGACTTAATGTGAATTTTTGCTTGGTTATTGATGAAGATGACTGCTAAACAAAAGATATTCCAGTTTAAAGTTAGGTTCTTCAGAAATTAGAAACAGCATTGCTTTGGAGTTTTTTTAAATATGAACTTTGTAACTCATATTTTGAAACTGTTTCCAGTTAAGGCATAGGTTAAACAGCAGCGTAATTGATTATTTTCCTTATACTGCAAAATTAATTATTTTTAGGGCTGAAATAAACACAAAATTTTTAAAAAGGCAAGCCCAAAACATCCCCAGCTGACACATTTTGATAGACCTGATTAAAAATGCATATAGCTCAGGATGCCTGTGTTTTCATGGATTTTATTCAGCTTTGTTTGGAAAGGATACGGTAGAGAAATCATAAAATCATACCATGGTTTGCATTGGAAGGAATTTTAAAAGATTATCTCCTTCCAACCCCCAAATTAAAGTAGACCCATAGCAGCTTCACTATTTTATATTCTTTTGAGTGAAGATGGAATTCTTTTGAATGTAGATGGAAATTCAAAGCCATGCTTATGCAACAAATTAAATGAGATATTGTCAAACTTCAGCTCTTAAATGAGTTGGAGTGTCCACTTCTGTTCAGCTTAAAATTCTACTGTTAACAGGTGGTATCAGAATTATCCCTCAGAATCCCTGCAGGAGTTAAATCTTAGCACAGGGATATTGGGGTTTTTTTCCACTTATCCTCACCTACATTAGCTAAATCCTTATTTTAACTTGTTCTAGCAGAAATTTTGGGAGCTGCCTGCTCCACAAGAGGAGCTGGCATCTTCTGGCAGCTGTGTTTTAAGTAGGAATAATTTATCTTCTGTTAAGAGTATTTCTGCACAGAGCTGCTGGGAGAAGCTGTTAGCCCTGCAAGTGCAGCCCAGAGTGTGAGCAGAGGACACAAACAATAAATTAATGTGTAATGTGCTGCACTTGAGCTTAACAACACTGCCAGGACAGAGAGAGAGAATGAAAAAGGCTTATTAATTCTGATACCTGTGGGAAATACAGGCCTGCAGGGAGGAGAGCTGATGGTTGTGAATTTCTGTAAGATTTGTGTTGACCAGCTGTTGATGCTTCAACCAAAAGTCCTGTTCTCTTGCCGCCACCATCCCCTTTTTTTTTTTGTTTTTTTCTTAGGGAATTTACTATTTCCACGGGACTGAAGCAGTGCAGCAGTCGTTCCACTACAAGGTCTGTTGAGCTGATCAGCCCTGAGACCTGGCTGGAATGCATAAATCCCAAACAGTGACTAGTTTAATTTGTGTACAGTTTGTGTCTTGTTGGAATTGAGCAAACCAGCGGGATAGCACGTGGCATTTTTCTGCTGAGTTTTCTTTGTGCAGCCTTTGGGGGAGTGTTGCATAGTAAATATGAGTTGCTGTTAGCCACAATGAGATATTCTTAATCATCTCAGATGTCTTTAAAGTGATGTGTGTTAAAAAATAAAAGACTTTGTCAAACTTCCATAACTATTCACTGTTAACTGTGATGGAAATTGGTATTTAGAGCTCTTCTTGGGTATGTCTCCATTAGAGAGAAAATTAAAACACAGTGTTGAGTAATGCTTGTTTCTGACTAAAAGCTTTGCTGCCCTTGACAGGTGGAAATCGCTTTAGATCAGAAAGCTTGAACAGCAAAACAAATGGGCTGATACTTTGCATACAAATCCTTTCAAGTTCCTAAAAGCCTCAAAAATGCCACCCTTGCTCCCAAGTCCTTCCCAAGCTATTTAGCAGCCTCACAACTTGTAGTGGCTTCAGCTTCAGAATCATTTCCTTCTCCCTGTTATCAAAAGGTGAATGTTTTCACAGTTGAGAGCAACAGAATTGCAATTTGCGAAATGGAAAATTCATTTATTCTCATCTTCAAAAGTGTGAACTTGAGGAAACAAGATCAGATTGAACTCAAGATGCCAAAGCTGGTGGGAGAGCTGGTTGTGCCTTTGTTTTAGATGAAGTTAGGTCAGAAACTGCACATGATCCCCTAAAGCAGTGCTGAGGAGGGAGAGGGGCTCCAGCAGTGACCAGAATCTGTGTGGGTACCACAGGGGAATTGTGCCTCTCCCAGGCACTGCTTTTGGGAAAGCAGGGGTGCAGGTGGGTGAAAAAAAAAAACAAACAAACAGCTGCAGGTCACCTCACTGTGCCTTCAGGGAATTTGGGCTCTCCGAGATGAAAGTTCTTGCATTTTGTAGTGCTTGGTGTGTGTCCAGCCTTTTCTTAATGACAAATGCAACAGTTTGCAGCTAAAAAAATAAAGATACCTATGGCAAGACAGTGCTCATATTTTTCATATATGCATTTTTACACTGAAGAATATACAGTTCCATATATTTTCCACAGATACAGGTATTTTCATTTTGATAAGGAATTCACATAGCAGAAGGAATTTCTGGCTTTGAACTGCCTTTGCAGATTAATGTAGTGAAAAATTCAGAGGAGATATGAGTTTTGAGTACAACAATAAACTGAGCTATTATTTTTTTTTAAGAAGTATGTTTAAGGTTTCTTGGGATGTTCCTGCCTTTTTATCATCTTTAAAGACAAGAAGTATTGAAACATGGCTTCTGAAGATTACTGTTTTGAAATGGGTCAAATTTTTCTTTCAATAAGCTTTTACTTTATTTAGGTTGCAAGTTTGGATCCTTCTTAATATGAAAACTGAGGTGGAGTGCTAAATACCTTTTAGGCTTTGATTAGGAGGGAGAAACCCAAAATTCTTTAGGTCTGGTCCTAGCTGCCAGCAAGCAGAGGTGGAACTGAAGCAGTTGTGGGGCTGTCCATAACCTAGCCAGGGCGTTGTATAAATCCCAGCCTGCTTGGGTGGCTGTGCAACCTTTGCAGTAATTAGGCAGGAGCTGTTTTAATTGGCAAGTCCTTGTCAGGTGTGTGCTGAGAGGAAATGCACTGAGAAAAGTGGTTTTAGGCAGGGCAGCTTCCAGTTTGGTGGCTGAGGGAACTGTTGTCAATGTTAATTGTAAGGAACTTAATCAATTTCAGTGAATGCTCCTAAAAATCCCCCAAGAACTCCTGCCTTAGCTAAAACCACTTAATTTAAATCCAGAATCTGATTTGTTAGGTGCTTCATCTAAGAGTTCATTAGGCATCATTAGCCAGTATCTATCGAGGTGACATTTGAATTCAGCCAGTGTTGATGATCTGTCCTGGCTGCTGGAGGTGGCCCTGCCTCACCTGTGTCACCTCTGCCTGCGCAGGGGTGGCCTCAAATCTCTGCCAGCACCTCTGCAAAGAGCAACCCATAAATAAATATAAATGATAAATGATGAATCCTCACCAGAGCGACAGTGTACAGATAAAGAAATAGGAAAAGAATGGAGCTAGAGTTGTGTATCCAAGTCTAAATTAATTTAATTTCCTCTCTGTCTTAAGCTTCTCCCTACTGATGCTTTCCTATAAAGCTAATCCTTTTCTTTCATCAAAAAAACCCCAAGTGTTTTTTTGATGAAAGAAAGCAGTGTTTCAGCTCCAAATGGAAGCATTCTCTCCCATTTCTGTGATTTCAGAAAGTAACATATTTCTATTGCAAACTGGGGTGTTGAAGTGGGAAATGATCCAAAGAATATGAGAATGTCTGCATTGCTTTCAGAAAAATTGTCAAAATTCATGGGATTGGTTCCATTTTTAGTAAGGTGTGCTGTACAAGAGCCCAGTTCAGGTTTTCTTCAGTTTTAATACCTTGACTGGGAGCATAATTCACATGGAAGTTGATCACCACACTCCTAAGTGGTAAAAACAAGAGTGAAGACATGTCCTGGAAGATAAAATTAGCAATGCTGTCTTCCATCAGGATGGATTCCTCAGTTTCAGCATTTTTCATGGCAAACAGAAATAATGATTTGTGCAAATGTCCATCAGCCTGATATGGCTGCAAGTGGATTGACTGGAAATAAAGTAACAACAGCACCCAAACCAGGCACTGGGAAAAGAGCCACTGGAAAAAGATGTTGTATCAAATATCCTGGTTTTATGATCATTGTTCTTTAGATAGTGGTGATGTTTTACCATTTTCATTTCCAGTGCTTTGGAGGTCATTCTAAACAAGGCTCTAATTTAAAAAAGAAAAGTCTGTATGGGTATTGCAACTGCATGAGCCATTAATATCCATACATAAACTTGGGATGAGCCCAGAAAATCATTTGATTTCAAGTCATGTATTCCAGCTGCCAGTAATTACTAGAAAAGTAATATTGACAAAAGGGTGCCCCTTCCATAGAGGTTTTACTTTTTTTTGTTGTCTTCCTCTTTTCTTTTTATTTATAGCCACCAGCTAAATACCTCCTGCCAGAACTGACAGCATCAGACTATGGGAAGAAGTGTGTGGTCATTGATTTAGATGAAACTTTAGTGCACAGTTCATTTAAGGTAAGTAAATTCAAAAGGGATCTCTTGCAGCTTGGATCTGTCAGTGAATGCTGCAGGAACTGTTAAGCCTCTTAACACTTGAACTCCTCTTACATCCTCTGCCTGGGAGTCCTCATTGCCTCTCCTGTGATTATTCATCCTAATTTAACTCTCAGGGGAGTAACAACAGGGATTGCTTCTTAAATTTTATTTTATTTTATTTTATTGAGAAAATCACACTGGCTGCAACAAGGCTTGGAATGGGTATTGACTGCAGGGCTTTGTGTATTCCACCAAAGACCTGAGTTTTGGACAGGTGCAAAATTTGTTGCTTTGAAAATAGCAACAGATGCTTTGAAGTTTTTTGTTTTTGCAGTTTAAATGGTGACATAGTTAGTGTAGGAGAATGGAGAATCAGCACAGCTTTGTGCTGGGTTGGATGTACCTTTAACCAGGAGATTTTGGGCACCAGTGGTGGCTCTTCTCTCTTGCTGGAGGATGTTGTTTTCCTGATCACAGCAATTGGTTTTAGGTATTTAGTTTTGAGAGCAGGAAAGCAAATGCCATTTAGCTGTTGGTGGTGAGTCAGTCATCTTCAAGAAGCAACTTCTGTCACCCTTCAGAGTTCAGCATGTGCTGAAGGTACTGATTCTTCAAAGTACTGTGTATTTTTTCTGTTGTTTAAGTAGGGCTGAAATTAGGAGACTTCAGAAATGCAAAGAGCCTAAATTGTCTTAGGGTACTGATAGCATTCCTGATTAGTACAGCTAATACTGATAAAGCATCTGCTGGTTTTATACATTGATTGGAGAATTTATAAGAATTGATAATGTTATTTTACCACTCCCAAACCAGATTAACCACCCTTACAATCTTCTAGCTGCTTGCACTCCATTTTTCACTGGAAACATCAGCTCCACTTTTTAATCCTTCACTTGTTGGTTGCCAGTATTTAAAATGCAAACTTGTAATTCATGTTGTGGTTAGGATTTGGCAGCAGCCTCTCTTTATTGACTTAAAGAAAACCTTATATGGAAATATTGGGACAAATATTCCTGTGCCTCAGACTGAAATGAAGATTTTTTTTTTTTTCTCTTTGTTGTGCCTGATGGTACAAAATAATTTCTGGTGTACAGGAACCTCCAAGCCTCAGTGCCATATTTGTGTTCTGTAGCAAAATGAGCTTGCTCTAGAGAGCTTTTCAGGGAGATAAAATCCACAGCTGGATTGGGCAGGGAGGAGCCATGCCTTCCTATTTAAACAAGAGTCAAAAACAAGAAGGGAAAGCTGAATGTAAAAGTCAGATTGTGTATAATAAAATTGAAGTGTTAAGCTTATTGTTACCTGAAAGGTAAAAATACAATTTTGCTTTCTGAGTGCTGTGGGTAATATTGTGCTGTGATTTTTTTTCTGGTTTTAAAACAAAATTAGATTCAGTTTAAGTGGTTATTAGTTATTTTTTTAAACCATTTTAAAGAAATGTATGTTTAATGGTTGACACAGTTGCAAATCTCTCTTGTAGGACTGAGATTTGCAGAGTGTTTCTTAGAGGGCTCCTTTTAATCCTCCCACATTCAAATGATATTTAATGGGTATTTAAATGATGTTGAGTAGATATTTAAGAAAAACCAAAAGATTTTTCTGCTTGATGATGAGCACTGAATAATGTTTTGTGTGAGGGAAAGAAAACCGGTCCTTTTTTGTGTGAGGTCAGTAGAGTTGGGCAGATGTTGGTGTTTCTGCAGAATTGGAGTCTTTGGGTGACAATGGTGTTATTTCAGTATGAAACCCTGAGATTGGGGGTGTGTAGGAGAAAACCAAGTGCTGGAGGAAATTAATTTAGTTGTTTAGTGGTTGGCATTGTCCAGTGGTGTTGTTTGGGTTTTGTTTTAAGTTCTTCAGCTGAATTAAGACCATTAATTGTCATCAAAAACAATGATACATTCCAGCAGAGCAGGGGTTTGAGCACCTGGGTGCTCCTGCTCTGCCTGGATAGTCAAGTTATTTTGCAGCTTTTTATTTTGTAGGAGTTTGGGGGTATTTTGGGGGTTTTCCTTCCATTAAAACATATCTACTCTAACCAGGTAGCTCCCCACTTAAAAGGTGGAAAAGCATACATAAATTTGAGAGTTTTAGTACAAAAGGCTTTATTTAAAGCACCTGATAACTTTAGAATTTGTAATTCTGTTATGAAATAGGCTTCATATTTCAAATGCAGATTACATGTTTTTTTGACACAACCAGAGAGGCAGAATATTTAAAGTGCTCTTTATGAAAGCAGCAACATCTGAGGGAGGGTAATTCTCATCTTTTTATGCCCCTGCATATTTGTGAAGCTTTAAGGAGGTACTGGTCTTTCATGTTAGGTGCATATTAAAGGAATAAAGTTTGGGGTTCTTTGGCAAGAGTAAAAAAGGAATAGATAGACAGGGTAGTTATCATTCCCATCATAAAACAATAATAGAAGCAAAAAATAATAAATTATTCAATCGAGGGAGATGTAAACACGGTTTTGTATAAAATGTATTAAACCACATGCAAGCCTGGAATGTAGTCCTATTCAAAACTGGCAGTGAAACACCTTTAGAACATTTAAAATGCTGAAAGTTTGGGGGTTTTTAAATACAAAAGTTCTGAGTGAGCTGAAGATTTTCAGTGGAATTCCATTCCCTTTTTCCAGGCTCTGTCTCTGTGCTTCCCACTGGAGGCATGGACGTGCTTCATGTGCCCAAAAACCTTTGCCCAGCAAATTGCTGCAGACTTTTCTCCTCTTTTCCCTCCCTGAGGAGCACAGAACTCCAGGCTGTGCTCCTTTCCTTATCACCACTGCCAACAAGAAGCAACAAAATACCTGAAATAGAAGTGGGGGAAGCAAATTGGGAGTAGTTTGGTGACGAAGTCTGAGGCTGAGAAAAACCAAAGTTGCTCACACTGAATGTGGTTTGATGTTGCTCCTGTTAGATTAAATTCTGTAAAAGCTGGAGTTTTATCAGTGGATTTCAAAACCTCTGCAGCTTGCAGTGACCTATTCTTTTTCTGCTGCTGCAGAGTGTTTCTCTTGCTGAAGGGAATCATGCATACATAAATCCTTCAAGTGTGTGCAAGCCTCTTCAAAGTCTGCAGGGAGCTGGCACCCACTGGAAAACTGGTGGCTGAGCCTTCTTGACAATTCATTTGAGGGGTTTTTTTTTTTTAAGGTGAAGCAGCAGAACTTTTGTGTAGCTGTTCTGTGGCTGTTGGAGCTGCACAGCATCTTCTTTATCTGAGGAGCTTCATGCAGGGAGCAGATGGGAACCTCCCCTCTGTCTTTTTCCACAGCAGAAAGGGGAAATTGCTCAGTGTTAGATAAGGAAAATACAGATTGATCTGTGTGTGTTTGAGGAATTATTCCGATCATATCAGCACGGGGGTCAGCATGAGGTCTGCTGCCAATCCTGGCTGGTCAGGATGGGAGGATTTCATGGAGCCTCTCCTGTGCCCTCAGAGCAGCACTTGCAGGTGTCAGATCAAACCACCTTCTTTATTTCTTTTCTCCTGAGAAAGGGTGTTTCCCTCCACAGAAATTCTTTGTGGTCACTTTGCTCTCCTGGCAGGGAGGCTGTCTGACAGGGGAATTACAATCTGGTTTATCCAGGGAGTGGGATCAAAGTGCTGCTGGCAGGTTCATACTGCAGGATCCTCTTTTCCCACCATTTTTTCACAGAGCACCTGTTTAGACTCCCGAGTTTGTGATCTGCTTCTTAAGTCACTTTACCTCAGCTGCTTCTCTGCTTTCTTGGCACACCTTTGCCCCCCTGAAAGAGTTTAAAGTCTGTTTCCAGTCCCACAAATGCTCCAGGGCCATCTTTTGGTGGTTCCTGAGATCAGCCTGCAGGTGCAGAACAGAGGTGGGACCATCTGTACAAATCCCCCAGAGCTGAGTGAAGATGTTCTCCAGCCTGGGCAGGATCCATGCAAGATACTGGCTGTTCATCACTCATATTAAAACTGTCTTTGGCAGCTCTGTGTCAGCCATTTCCAGGCTGCAGGTGATGGAATGAGCTCCAGGCATGTTTACATGACTGCTTTTTTAGCATGGACACAGTGCATGAGCTGTACCTAAGTGTGGTGTCCACTTGAACCAGCAAACATTGGTAGCAGCCTGTTCCCAACTGCCCTGCTGTCTAGCCAAGATTAGATTATGAACTCCTGAACTCTCTACAAGGCCACTTTGCTGCTTTCCAAGGCAATTTTCCTTGACCAGCAGTTTTTCACAGTCAGTCTTGAGAATTAAGTTGTGTTCAACAGGCCGGAAAAATGGATTCAAGGACTTGGGCAGAGTGTGCCTGCTCCTCCTTTTGGAATTAAAATGCAATTTTACATGATTAGGTTGATTGAATTGGCATGTTTACAATCCTTTAGTCTTCCTGCAGCTGCTGATTCAAATATGATCATTAGGTATTACTTTTACCACACTCTTTATTTTTAATTTAGCCACCAGTTGATACCCTCGAGTAGAATGTGTGCAGCACACAGTTTATTTTCTTGATGGTCATTTATCCATAAGGACTGGATGGAAGAGTTTATCCAAAGAGATGTTTTCCTGATGAACACACTCAGTGGTAGTGAGGGTTATTCAAGCAGTGAAGCATGCTAGGTTTTATGAGGCTTAAAAATAGGAGAGAAAAGGGAAGTGCAGCATCTGAAATTACAACTGGGAGCTTCTGGCTCGTGTAGGAGCACACACAGAGTGGATATGTGTGGTCAACAATGATTATTAACTTGTTCCTCAGAAGTTGGTACTCTTCCCTTTCATGCCCCTGAAATTTTCCCTCTCACCATTTGATTTTTAAAATTTTGCTGATTATTTCCTTGTCATTCTTTCCAGCCAATTAGCAATGCTGATTTCATCGTTCCTGTTGAAATTGATGGAACCATACATCAGGTAAGTGCTGGTTTTTCCTTCAGCATTGTGTCCTGAGTCCCACAATGTTCTCTTCCTCCATTTGCTGCTTTATATCCAATAATTTCTCTTGCAAAGCTGTGTATTCTGGAGTGCAGACAGGCATCCCTGTGTGCTCAGGTGGAGTCTTTGTCTCAGGACTTCAATACTCAACTCTTTGTCAATTTTAAAAACATTTTCCAACAGGAAATGATGTAAGGATGGGGTTTCAAACATTGCTGGGCCCAGAAAAAGCTGCTTGAACATTGCATTTTTCATTCCTTCCAACATAAATGGGACGTAGGTTGGCTTTCATATATGTTGGCTAAAGGTTATTTATATTTTAGAAAAGTATAAAGGAAGAATAGACATTTATTCAGTTTTTGTGGCAATCTGTGTTCAGTTTCTGTCCCTTTTTATTCCTGTAAGTAATTCAAGGTCCTCTGATAGGAGTTATTATATACTTTAGCATATTTGAAAGGTCTGGACAAAATCATGAGGAGACTGATTTCTGTGTCTTACTCTTTAAGAACTTCACTTAAGGCTGTAAGAAATGGTTTTGAGTAAATGCAAAACACCCATAATTTGAAAATCAGTCCCCTCCATGTATCTTGGATTGGTGTCTTTAATCAGTGATCATTTCTGAAGGGCTGAATCAAATAAATTACAGTGCTGTTACTTTCCCTCTTCAGGCAGACACTGAGGTTCTTGCTGGAGATGAATTAAACAGGTTAATGTCAAGTTGAGCCTTTCTGATACATGAGCTCTGTAAATTGTTTGAAACATCTTCTGCTGGGTGTTACAGTTAGCAAACCTTCTGTGATTTAACAGAAATTTTAAGTACTTTAAAATCTGAAATGTTGTTTACATATAGTCTTTATGGATTATCTCTACTTGGACAAAGAGGTTTGTGTATTTTAAAAGGTTTTATATTTTATTTGTATATTTTTTCTTGGTGGATCATAAAAATAGTTCATAATTTTGTCTGATTTCCTGTGATGGAAGCTCTCCATGTATTTGTCACTCTTAAAATGATTACTGAACATCAGTCAGTGGACTGAAACGTGCTTTAAAATAATAGTTGTTTTGACAGTTCTTACACTGTGCCTGTTTTATGTAGAAAAAAATCAATATCTGGGGTACTTCCACCTGTAATGTTCACCAGAGCTGATGCTTACTACATTTAAGTGATGTTCTGGAGATTTGTGATTTTTAATCCTGATTTGATGTGGGCTTTATCTGTGTTTGGTGCTGTGCAACAGACAAATTCTCTCTCCTGAAACTTCACAGAATGCTTTTGAAAGTGAATTTTTGAGTGGCTTAGAGTTGTGATCACTTGGCTTGTCAGGATGACATATTTACATTTGGAAACAAATCCCAATAAAAGGCTTGGGCTTTATAGTCAAACATTTAAAAAGCCTGTTGCTTTTCCATTCCCTGCTGCAGACTCTGAGATTCTGCACCAAAAATGATGCAGTTTGGCACTTGGGCATGACTCCATGTGGAGAAAAGAGAAAATATCAACAAAAAAACCCTGAAAACAAACAAAAACCCACAGCTGGGTCCAAAGGGAGTGGATTTGTGCATCTCCTCCTCCTCTGACAGAGGTGGTCAGGGGAAATTGGTCTCTGTGCTTTGCTGGAAAGTCCCTGCATGATTTTCAAGGAAATTGCTTCACTCTTTGAATTTCAAGTTCTTAACCTCTAAAACAGGTAAATACCTCAGGCCCATTTGGATGGTAAAAATGAAGATAATTGTAAGGAATTTGTGATTCTTGAAATAAAGGTAATTTGTGTGGCACACAGGATATGGCAAAGCCTGGGTGTGTAATGCCTCTTGTGATACTGCTGACATTCAGGAGTCTTTTCTTTTTTGTTTTGCACTGTGATAAAGGGCAAAAATGGATATTCTGGCTGAGTGTGATGTGCATTAACACAGCCTGTAGAGCTCTGACAACCTGTTCCCACTTCAAACCTGTAATTCTGTAGTCACTTAGAGCCTAAATGAACTGATCTGAGCAATTTGTGTCATTTATCAGGATTTGTCATCTGTGTAATGCGTGTCCATTTTCTTAAGCAGTTTATAAACTCCAGGATTAATCACTCACATTGAGAAATGTTTCCACCTGTGCAAAATATCCCAGGAGATGGGAAATATTGTGGAACCACACTGTCCATAGTGCATATCCCTCTTTTTCCAGTGAGTTTGGTGCTTTATCAGGAGGAGGTTGACAGATTTTTATTGTCCTTGGTCACTGCCTTAGGCAGAACCCCAGTGGAAAAGAAGTTTCCTTGCTGAGAAACATAATTTCAGAGGTGTCCATTCATATAGAAACTTGGAATTACATGAGATTGTTCAACTCTCATATACCAAAAAATATAAGTTGTGGCAAATGGAATTGCTCTACTCCTGAAAGAGTTTTGAGATTGACTTATCTAGCAAGGTTTTTCATGGTAAATGTTGGTTGGGTTTGGATTTTTTTTTTGTTTTTTTGCAGCTCAACAGAGGTCTTAAAAAAATAATGTCTTTAGTTTGGGGAATTTGCTTTCCCTTATTTAATTTATAATCCAAAGGTCAGAAACACTCTTGGGGTTTTTTTTATAGGGAGGACAATTCATCATCCTAAAGGGTGCTTGGGTAAACGAGCTTCCCTAGATTAAAAACCAGCTTTTCTTAACATCCCTTCTCCCTTTCCCATCTTTCTTACTGCAGCCTAAATTACCTCATCTTTTGAAAGGATTTGTCAGTTTATTTTAAGAAGGAAATAAGTGTGAAGGAACTTTCCTTCCTTTCTTTCTGCTGTGGGTCTCTGGATGCCTGCAGAGCTGCCCATCTCGGGGCAGCTGAAGTTCCAGGGGAGAATCCCACATTTTCCCAGAATGACCAGGTTGGAAGAGACCTTCAAGATCATCAAGTCCAACCCAGCCCCAACAGCTCAACTCAACCCTGGCACCCAGTGCCACATCCAGGCTTTGTTAAACACACCCAGGGATGGGGACTCCATCACCTGCCCGGGCAGCCATTCCAGAACTTTATTGCTCTTTCTGTGAAAAACTTTTTCCTGATATCCAACCTGTGGTGGTTACAGTTGTGGGTTTCTCTGGGTCTGGATTGAAGGCACTTGAGACAGTATTTCATGTTCACACTCAGGTGTTTATTATTTCTTATCAGTAAAGCAGTCTCACTGCTGGGAGTTCAGCAGCTTTTCATCAGAAGGCACAAAATGGCCAACAATCTCTTGTTCCAAGCTCTTTTCAGACTGAAATATCCAATTAAGAACTGACACCTGGATTATTTTCCCTTTTAACCCAATAACTGATCCCACAGAGCTGCAATGGGGACTTTTCTGCCCAATTACAAAATGCCACCCAAACCCATGGAGAAGGAGGAAGAAGCAGCATGAAGAAGAAACCCAGGATGACACCCTGTGCCCTCCATCTTGCTTCCATCCACAACACACTAAAAATCCCAAAACCTCTCACCAAGTGACACACCTACCCTGCTCTCTATAATCTATTTCACACTTTTGTGGATTCCGGTTTATCTTGAAGTCTGGGAAACTTTCCCCATGAATGAGGGTCAGAGTCAGTGCTGCCCTGGGGGTCAGGGCACCCCAGAGCAGACAGAGAAATATTCCCAGTGCCCTGGGTTTCCACAAAAACCTAACCTTCCCTTGGTGCAGCTTGAGGCTGTGTGCTCTGGCTGTGTCAGTGCTGCTGCAGACAGAGCCCAGCCCCAGCTGAGCACAGGCACCTTTCAGGAGCTGCAGAGAGTGATGAGGGCAGCCCTGAGTCTCCTTTTCTCCAGGCTGAGCACCCCCAGCTCCCTCAGGGGTTCCTCACAGGGTTTGTGTTCCCAGCCCCTCTCCAGCCTCGCTGTCCCCTCTGGATGTGCTCAGTGTCCCAAGGTCCTTCCCCAGCTGAGGGGCCAGAGCTGGGCACAGCACTCGAGGTGTGACCCCAGCAGTGCCCGGGGCAGGGGCACAATGAGCTCCCTGCTCCTCTGGCCACTCCATTGCTGACCCAGCCAGGAGCCTTTGGCCTGCTTGGCCACCAGGGCACTCTGCTTTGGGCTGGGAGTGGTGGCCCAGGTACACAAGGGGGGTTCTGGTACAAGCTGACCCTTCTGGCCACTCCTCTCATTCCACTCTGGTTCTCTGGGTGCAAGGAGATCAGAGCTGGACCTTCTCTCCCAAATGACAAGTGGGAAATCCAGTGGAGTGTGTTGGAGCTGTGAGGAGGCTCATTGGGGGTGGAAGTGGTGCCTGGAGATGTTCCCCCTGTTGGGCACCTTGATTTAACTCTGCAGGACACGTCCTCTCCTTTGGACCCACTGAGCAAGAGAGTGACCACAGCCCCCAGACCAGAACTGCATCAAACACAGCTTTAATCCCCAAAGCGTGAAGGTTTTTAGGCAATGCTTGTCCTTCATCTGTCATCCAAATTGAATTCCAGTGCCTTTGTGCCTTGCTTTTGGTGTCCAAGAGTAAAGAGAGCTAGCCAGGAAGAGTTTGATTTGGTGTTGTTTTGAATTTTATTTTTAAATACAATTTGTTTATTGAGTAAAACAAATTTTTAAGTGTTTGTTTGGGGTGAGAGGGGAGTTAATTCAATTAATTGCTTGTTTTTAATTGTTGAATGCTGAAGGAACATTTGGCATGTATACTTTGAATATGACACACAAATTTCTTTTCTTTTTTTTTGATGATGGCTGGAAAGGCTGTTCAAATAATAACTTTCCTTCCTGTAAAGCACAGAATTCATGGATTTTCTTGCAGGAGGCTGTGGCCTGGTTCAAGTAATCCAGGATAGGCTGTATCCATTCTAACTGGCCTATTCTTGGTTACTTGCACTGGGACAGGGCCACAACTGTGTGACCCAGGACCACGAGGGACACGTGGGATTTTCTGCTCACTGCTCAGAAGAGACATGAAACAGGAGATTACAGGAGCTGGAGTTGTCATGGGCAGAATTTTTGGTCATTACTTGCAGATTTCCTCATTGTAAAGCTGGTTTTAAAAGGCAATCCTGTGTCATGTTCAATTGGTTGAAAATGAGCTGGGTTTGTCTTTGGGTTTCACAAATACTGAGTTCTCTGTAGGCTGAGGCTGCTTTGAGGTATAGAAAATTCATGTGGAAGTATGAAATGCTTGAAAACAATTAAAGATAATTGCTTGTGTTCTGCCATTAGTAAGAATCCTGTGGAAACATGCCTAGTGCCTGATTTGTGCTTAAAATGTTGAGTAGGGTTCATTTTAAATAATAAAAAAAATATTGTATTCCTCTAAATTCTTGCTGTGATAAGGAAAAAAATTAGTGAGCATGCCAAAAAAAAAAAAGATGGATTTTTATGTTTTTTAATGCCCTGAAGACAGTATATAAATCTCAGAAAAATGCCAGGAGCCAGTTAGTCTAGAGATTTCAACTGAAGCCATCAGGCAATGGAGGAAAAAGCCAAGCCACAAATAACCATGCAGCATTGAGATTCAAGTCCAGCCACTAACAAAGTAAAGGGGAAAAAATTCCAAATGAGAAGGAAGAGGAGAAAAGAGCTGCTCTGTCAGCTGAAGAAAGCTTTCTATGTGGAGTAAACCAAAGAGATTTTGTAGCCCAGGATACCAGCACATTTTGGAGTTGCTTCCAGGCTCTAAGTAGCACTTCTCAAAGAAAACTTCAGCTCTGGAGAATAACTATCCAGAGTATTAAGATATGTTGTTCTGCTAAAAAGAAAAAAAAAAAAAAAAAAAAAAAAAAAAGGAAGAAAAAAAAGTCAAGGAATTGGGGCTTTGTACAGAGGGAAATAATTAAGGGAGAAATTTGGTGAGACTTCATCTTAAGAGATGACATTTATTATTAATTAGGCATTTAACATGAGAAGCAAATCTGTTGGCCAGATCCCAGCAGGGAAAGATTTAAGGCAAAGCAGCAGGAGAAACTCAGGCAGAGGAGGCTGTGAGTGCTCTGTGGTGGATCAGGAGCCCCAAACTGCAGAGGGGAGGCCATCCAGCTAAAAATGCTGTGTATCCACAGCTAACCCTGAATTAGGGGCAGAATTAGGAGCCCTAAAAACAGCCAGGGAGTGTTTATTGCCAAGGCTGCCAGTGCAGCTCAGGGCTCTGGGATTGATTTACTGAGTGCTCCTGATGGAGGAGGTGGCTTGTGTTGCAAGCAGCAAAGTTCAGGTCCTTGGCAGGGAGTCTGTAATTACATTCCAAGTGGAAATACTTCACTGACAGGGGCAGAGATAGGGATGGAGAGCAAAGAGGAGACTTCTGCTGAGGCTGGAAGCACTGGGCTTTAAAAGGGAAATTAATATTAAATTCCAGCACTTACTCTCCAAGAATGATGTTAAGACTCTGGGGTTCCCCTCAAAAATAAGTGTAGGAATAAAATTAAGGCTAAAGAATCAAGAACTTAATTATGAACTTGGATCCTGCTGTCTTTCCTCTCACATCTGGGAAGTTGGAAGCTCTCTGGATACCCAAAAGCAGAGGGACTGCAGCAGTTTTTCTGTCTTTAAAAAAAATTCAAAGGTGGAATCTGGAGAGGAAATACTACAGCACAACTTTGTGTAGAAAGAATGAAATGAAAACTTAATTGCCTTGTTATAGGAGAGGAAATGACTTGGTTTATGCCTGGTGATATACAGGAAACATTGCTGTAATTATCTGGAAAGAGAGTGGTGGTGAAGTACATCTGTTAACTGTCTTTAATCCATAAAATGTCACCATTATTTGATGTGTTAGGTGCTGCTGTGGTTGTTTAAAAAAAAATCTGGGTTATAAATTGTTATCTGTATCAAAGTTTGAATGTAATGTTTATAGGGTCAGAAATACTTTAGATAAATTTCACAGAAATAACTTAAAAGAGATAAAGACTTCATGGTATGATCTGTATGCTGCATAAAGGGGAAAATTAACATTTCTGCTTTAGTCATTAAGATACAGCTCCTTATATGTGTTTTTAAAAAAACTTTACTTTCAATTTTAGGTTTTCAATTTCAATTACACAGTTCCTTTTATTCTTCTTTTGCTGAAGGCTTTAATTGTTACACTTCAGTTCAAGCTGCGGTTTCCATATTTTTTTCCTTCAGGCTTTTTCTCTGAGTACCTTGATTTTTATTTTTTTTTTTACCTCTTATTAATAGGAATCTAGTAAAATACATACAATTAATCTAGTTTTACATATCAAAGAATGAAATTCCTGAAATAGCATCAGTCTTTGCAATTCTTCCTGAATTCAGCTCTGTGCCAGACTTCTCCACTTGAAATTTCCAGCATTAGGGATTATTTGCCAAACAAAAGAAGATAAAATGCTGCCAATATTTTCTCTCAAACTTTTAATCTAAGTGCAAACAAGACAGATAAATATTTTTCAAGCAGACTCCCCTCTTCAGCTTCCCAGTATATTGTGAGCTGCTTCCAAGCTTTCTGAGCAGCACTTTCCTTGTTCTGGTATCTTCTGTGAGCACAAAATCGTCTTGTGGGCTCTGCAAGGAGAATCAGGGAGGTTTTAATAATCTGCTAATCAGGTTGTTGACAGCAGGCAGCCAAGGCAGTGCTGAAAGGCAGCAGAGCACTGCTGAAGAGGACAGAAATCCTGGGAATTTGCCTTCTTTTGGCAAGAAGATGCTGTAGACTTTGTCAGATATCAAACCCAGCACTTTCAGGCTTTCTGCATGGTGCTGTGAAGATTTTTGGTGAAAAAAGTTCCCTGTAGAGCTGGAGGGCTTGATCACTCTCCATAGAGAGCTGTGGTGCTCAGCACCTGGAATTTCAGAAATGAGACAATCAGCCACGGAAGGAAAACAGGTCCCTGTTGAGCAATGCCTGCTGTCAGAGAGGTTTAATCAGATTTATTCCTTCTGTGGAGCTCCTCAGCTTCCCAGCAGCAGAAAGGGTTTGGTGGAAGGATCCAGATCCTCACTTCTTGAGAAGCCCTCCTGTCTCCCTTTGCCTTTAATGAGATTTTTGGGGAGCACCCTCCTGATGATGCTCAGTGTTTGCAGCTCCATAACCAGCAGGGGCTTGGCGGCCTCTGTGTGCCAATCTCTCATTATTGCAGCTCTACTTTTATCTTGCATACTTTCCTTTTTCCCCAGCATTTCATTTGAACTGCTTCCCTGTTAACTTTTGTTTCAAGTGCTGGCATTGCAGGAGTGGTTTTGTTTTTTGGGGATTTTTTTTCCTTTCCTTGAGCAGCATCTGACCTAAATGCTGTTGTCATTCCAGGTTTATGTATTGAAACGACCACATGTGGACGAGTTTCTTCAGAGGATGGGAGAGCTCTTTGAATGTGTACTCTTCACAGCCAGTCTAGCCAAGGTTTGTTCCTCCTTTCATCTCTTTAACCCTGATGGTGCTGGTCAGTGGACTTTTGGTTGGGTTTTCTATGGATGATTATTTCCACAGTTGGTACTATCTTAATTTTTCCCCTTCTTTTCTGCTTCTTTGTCTGACAGTGTGTACTTTGTCTGCTAGTGTGTGGGTAAGTGTTTCCATGGTAACACCATCACATATGGGCTTGTCTCATAATGTAGCCTCCATGCATTGCTCATGATGCCAATATGAAAGGCTCCCAAGTTACCATGGTTATAGTGAGAAATTAGAACAAATAGAGTGCCACTGAAGCAGCACATGAAAGCTGGGCATGAAATAAAGCACCGAATTAAACCCTGTCTACACCATCAACCAGTGGCTCAGAAACTCACTGGAAATTGGGAACCAAGCTTCTTGCTCTCTTGAGGGGCAATTTCAACCTGGAGTTAAAGAAATGAGACTTTTTTGCAAAGCTTGGAACATCCCCAGGAATATTTTGTGCCCTCTGGTCCTGCAGTAGCAGTAGTGGCTCGTAGGTAGTTTTTGTGGTAGATGTTACAGTAGTAGAGTGATCTGGAATTCTTCACCTCCTTCAGTGTATTGTATTTGTGGTGTGTTTGTAAAATGATTTGATTATTTCTAAGTAGTGCTGTAGCATGGCAAGCTTTGGCTCCACCCTAGTGTAGAGATGGTGGCAGGGGCCAGGACCCTGATCTTCTGTAAAGCCTTTTTCCCTGCATTCTCTTTACCACATACTGTTCAGTCACGTTGAAAAAATCCTAAATACTGCCCCAATTTCATACTGAAATGATGTGCCCTATTTCATAATCAAAAGATGATTGATTTCAACATCAGGGGTTTTTTCTTGGTTTAAGATATAGGAAAATGGTAACTCCTGTTGTGCAATTATAAGATACAACTACAGTTTTCAACTATGTGGTTATTCATGTTGAAGTTTATTTGGATTCTTCTTGGTCACTTTATATAAATTGCTGGATTCTAAGCTATGCCTCACTTAAAATATCATCTTATGTATAAAATGAGAATTTTCCTGGTATTGTACATGAGTATTTTTATTAATAAGATATTTGGTTGATCCTTTTTGGCCTAATTATGCAATTTGGTAATCTTAAGAGTCCTGCTGAATTTGGCAGAGCCACATCAGGCTCAGATTTGTTCACTGCAGTTTATCTTCAGAGGCACATGGAAACAAATCAGCTGGGGAAAAACTTCATATTGATTTTCTATTAGCATTGGCTGGTTTTATGGTAATGGCAGGTGAGATCTCTGGATCCATCAACCTCTAGAAAACTCTCAGGTTAACACTAAGTTGGCCCTGAGAATAAAACTTAATTAATAAATCACAGAAAACATTAAGTTAGGCTTTTCTAGAAAGAGAATTGTCCTACTTTTGCTTTATCTCTTTATTAATCACTTCATGTTTGCAGGCAATTGAGTTAATTAACAAGGAGCAGGGACGAAAATGGAGAAAAAGGGCATTTTATGTGAAATGATTTTGTGTCCCTTCTCTGTGAACCAGCCTTTTCTGCCTGTTGCTAACTTGGTGTTTCTGACTTGTATTTTTAAGTATGCAGACCCAGTAGCTGACTTACTGGATCGCTGGGGTGTGTTCAGGGCAAGGCTCTTTAGAGAATCCTGTGTTTTCCACCGAGGCAATTACGTGAAGGATCTGAGTCGACTGGGCCGTGAGCTGAGTAAAGTTATCATAGTGGATAACTCTCCTGCATCTTACATCTTCCATCCTGAAAATGCAGTAAGTATTCCCAGTACTCCAGCCTAACTTCATCTCTCTGGCCCTCACCCAGGTTTTGTGATTGAGAAAATGGACTTTTCAGAGCACTGTGTCAGATTGTGTGTTTTTTTAGGCTGCAGTGGGTTCTGGGGTTCACTGAAGGACATGGGCAAAGTGATGTTGACAGAGTGTCACAGCCATGACTGCTCCTGTGCTCTGAGCCTTGGCTGCTGCCTTGAGCTCCAGCACTTCTGAGAAATACACAGTGGTGTGGAACCTGAAAAACCAACTCAGCTCTAAGAAACAAAGCTGCCCTGCAGCACAGATTTTCTTCTTTGGAGTAGTGACTGCAGAAAGAGTGGTTTGCTTGTGTTGTATCTTCAGGCACCCCTGACCAAGGCAGGAATGATGAATCTGACTCCATGTTATCACAAGGCTAATTTATTACTTTATAATACTATATTATATTAAAGAATGCTATACTAAACTATACTAAAGAATACAGAAAGGATACTTACAGAATGCTAAAAAGATAATAATGAAAACTCCTGACTCTCTCCAGAGTCTCAACAAAACAACTCACAGCAGAATCCAATGAAACAATCACCTGTGGGTAAACAATCTCCAAACACATTCCACATGAACACAACACAGGAGAAGCAAATGAGATAAGAATTGTTTTCCTTTTCTCTGAGGCTTCTCAGCTTCCCAGGAGAAAAATCCTGGGTGAAGGGATTTTTTCAGAGACTGTGAATGCCACATGCTGAACTTCTTTTTAGGTACTCTCATCTTTTTTTGTTGTGTGAATAATATTTTATTAGGCAAGATAATTAATGATCTACTGGTTGCTACTGAGATCTGCATTTGTGGGTAAGGGAAAGAAAAAAAAACAAAAAACAAACCAAGATCCTGTTGTGTTGTTATGCTTCTCTCTCAATTATTTTTGTCATAGCTCCATAATTAGAACTGTTAGTCAACAAGTTAATCAAGGTTCAGGAATAAGGATAAAGGGCAGGCAGCAGTTCTGTAGGGCAGAACAATGAGGAGCAATGTGCATTTTCACTGTGTGTTTGCATTGGCTCCAGGAGCTCTGATGGAGAGGTCTGGGGTGCTCCATCCGTGCTGCAGCCAGCACAGCTGCTCACATCTGCTTTAGCTGCCAGGGGAGAAGCTGGAGCTCTCAGATCTGCTGACTTTTAGACAACCAGGCTGTGCACTGTTTGCTTTGATGTTTTTAGGCTGCCTTCTCTGTGAACTGTTAAAAATCAATGTAGGAAATCTTTTATTGAGAACATTGCTTTGCACAGTCCTGCCTCTCCAGAAGCTTTTTTTTTTTCTTTCTTTCTTTTTGTATCAAGAGCTATTTATCTTCCAGCAGTCAGCTTTCAAGTTCAGATCCTAATATTGTGATGCCCTAAGTGATGGGGTGAAAACATTTTTCTGGTTGGTGCCACACATGGTTTAAAGCTGCCATTTATAATAACCAGGACCTGCAGCTCTAATTTATGTTCATGGTTAAAATTAAAAACCTGATCCAAGATCATCATTTGGTATCTCAGAAATCAGTGCCAAGGAAATAATGAGCTGTAGAAATTTGGGAGATGGAATTAAGGGCCTTGTCAGAGTGGTTTAATCATGTATAGAAAAGTGCTGCTGGCTGACTGATACTGGAGTCTCTGCAGAAACCAGAGCTTGTAACAAGATCCAAGATAGTCTTGGAAAGACCTCAGTGTGCTGAAGATACACAGAACACCTTCCCCAAATCCTGCCTGCATATTTAATCAGGGTTATTATCTGTGTTGTTCTCTGAACCCACTCACTAGATGTAACATTTTTACCCGAACAATGTTCTGCCCTTGCAGTTAAACATTTCCTGCAAACCCCGTGCTGGAAGGGGTTGTTGCTGCCTGCCTGTGCCTGGTGACTCACTCTGATAATTCTTAGAGAGGAAAAAAAAAATAATTGCCTGTAAATAAAGTGTCAGTGCAGCTTCATAAGCTGTGTCTGCCTTGCAGCCTGTTCTGGGTAGCAGGGAGGCAGAGCAAGGAGAGCTGCCCAGTGCGGGTTCATGTGGATCACCTGGACATGCAGGTGAAGCTCAGCTGTCCTCCTTGGGCTTGGGGTTGCCCCTGCTGCTCCACCTGCATGCTAATGAGTGGCTAATTGCCATGATGATTATTAACCAGTGGTGGTGATGCTTCCAGGACACCTACACAGACAAAACTCACATGTCTTTTACATCATGAAACCCTCTCAGTGTTTGTTGGTTGCTCTGTTTCAGGTGCCTGTGCAGTCCTGGTTTGATGACATGACAGACACAGAGCTGCTAGATCTTATTCCTTTCTTTGAAGGACTAAGCAAAGAGGAAGAAGTTTACAGTATGCTTCATAAACTCTGCAACAGGTAGCCCTTAACTCTGACTGACTCCTGCTCCTAGATTGCAGTGCTAGAGGCTGTCTCCATCTCTTTCAGCTCTTTCAAATGTAAGCTTGGGGAGGTCACCCCAGTCAGAAGTGCTACTCTTGATCTTCCTGTTACATTGGACACGAAGGACAATCATGAGTGATGCTATTAAGCCTTCAGAAGCCTGACTCCTAAGGTCATGTGTTCAGACTACTTTTTTAAAGGAAAAAAAAAAAAAAGCTATTTTAAATGGGACTCTTTTAATTAATTTCATAAATGGACATCTTTTACTGGATCAGCTTTTCTTAAAACATGCCAAAAAAAAAAGAAGCTTGTATTTCAGCAGTTGAATTTCTCTCCCTTTCTTCCCCTCCCACTATGCAGACAATTTTACCCCCCTGCTTAGAGCAGTTGACCTGACTCTGAATTTTTTCTTACAGAATGAAGTGCCTTTTTGAATGTTATTTTAAGATAAAAATTCATTTTTGTATAAGACGTATTTCCAGACATCTTTTAGTCTTGTATTGTCTAAATGCTTTAAAAGGAAAAAGGAAAAAAAAAAATTTATAGAGCACTGTAATATATAACAAAGGAAAAAGTTGAAAGCAAGATGCTGGGTTCCTGTCTCCACGATGACAATGAGTTGTGTTACACTTTGTCATGCTCAGAAGGTTCAGGCGGTCGTGGGAGGGGTGAACTGGGGTCATTAACATGGTTGTTTCACTGATGAGGCTTTTGGGCACAGTTTTAAAACATATCTGCAGTTGTTTTGAGTGTTTAGGGAGTGATGGAGTTGAGGAAATGAGGTGGCTGATAGACCTAAAGCACCTTTAATGCAGACAGATGAAGTTCTGCTGTCTCTGCTCACGCACAACTGCCATGCCTCTTCTTTTTTGGAAAACCATTCTCTTGGGAGAACAGCAAGATCTATTTATTAGCTTCAGATTCTTTTCTCAAAACAACCCATCTGGGGAAGCTGGATCTACATTGAGCTGTTTGGAGTACTTTTTTCTTTTCATTGCTGCTACTGTATGCTCACCAAATGGAGTTGACCATCGGCTGTTATACTGTTTTTGCCACTGTGCCTGTGCTATGAGACATGTTCTGTAAGCTGCAAACTTGGGCAATAAATAAAAATGCAGGCTTCATAACCCACCCCCATGGATTAATCCATTGGTATCTGATATACCAGTTAAAGGTGACCTGTAAAGGATTTTTTTTTTCAATTAAGATGAAGCCCTCTCCTTTCTTTGATACATGAAAATGCAGGAAGTTTACTGCCCACACCTTTGATTTGTATTTCTTTTTCCCCAAGGTGTGAGGTGCAGATTATGAGCTGTATCAAGTCTTGCTGAAGGGCAGAAGTTACTAGCCTAGAGTAAAATTGGTCCTCTGGCTTTGGAGTTGAGTTAGACTCATCTCTGAATCTGAGAGCCTGCTTAACATCTTCTGCAGTGCCATAGGGATTTCAGATGAATGATTTTTAAATATTTTATGCCTTTGAACAACAAGGCACCTTTTTTTCCCCTCCTCCTTTCCAGTGTCACCTTTCAGTTATTGTCCACAGCAGAAATCTGCAAACATAAAAAGTGCAGCTGTGTTTGGCTGTCATCAGAGAAGACTAAATGGATTATTTGGTGCTTCTAATTAGCCTCGTGCTAAATTCTGAATTGTAGACCCCCTTTGCCTTTTCTCTTTTCCTTGAAAACTCCCAGGGACTTGGGAAAAACACAAATTCCTTTGTGATGGACCCGGGGCTTGTGATCCTCAGTCTCAAAACCATTGGTGAAGCAGCTTAACAAATCCATCTGAGAGGGGCAGGCCAGTCTGCACAGGCAGTGAGTGGGTGGTGGTGGGTGCAGTGTCAAACTGAGCCCCCCTTGCAGTGCAGCTGTGCTCCAGCTGTGCTCCAGCTGTGGCTGGGCCCAGGGGTGCTGGAGGCAGCCCCATCACACCCGTGAGTCTCTAGGGCATCACCCTTTTGTTTCTTAACCAGCTGGCATCACCTCAGTACTGTATAAATCTGTGCCACAACAAAAAGACAAAAGTGTCAGGTTTGAAAATGAAAAATCTTAAAAAAAAAAAAAAAAAAAAAAGCCTACTTTGTTTAAAATCCAACAAAAAAAAGAAATTAAACAAGAAAAAGGACGTGTGGATTCTGGTTAGTCCATTAACGTTTACTTTCAGTTTAAGATGGTTTAATTTTGTATTTGATTCCAGAGTAATGAAACTGTAAGCTGCCAAAAAAAAAAAAAAAAGTTGTTCTCTGAGCAGTATTTTCAACTGTGCCTGTGGCCCCAGGGCCCCAGTGCAGTTTGCAGGGAAGTATTCAGGTTGTAGTTAGTCGTGCAGGTATGAGAGGAATGGCTGAAGAAATTCAAAGACTTTTTCTCGTTAGCATTAGACCAAACAATCAGACAAAGAGTAAATAACCCACGAGCCAGTGTGACAGTTGTGACCTGTGGGACGTGAGACAAACCGTGTCACCCGTCTGCATCTCTGCAAGCAGCGATTTCATGAACCAGTTGCCTTAAGTCTGTGAATGAATGTTGATTCTATTATTAAAGTGTCTTGTATTGTTTTCCAATCCACATAGAATGGGCAACTGAACTTCTGCACCAGCCTCTGCAGGAATGGTTGTGATGATGCTCTGTACAACCATACTTGTACTGTATCGTTTTGGCTCTTAAAAACCCCCAAATTTAAAAAAACCCAACTTACTGTAACTTGCTACAGCATTAAAATGACACTTGGTGACAATACAAAGACAAAAAACGTAGCACAGCTTTGATCTCTGTTAGCATTAAGAGTATTTTCTCTAAGTTCTGATCAGTTCTATTGTTTTTTAACCCACCCATTCTTGAATGGGAATAAAACTCAGAGTGCTCTGCAATCAGGTTTGGACTCCCCTGGGTATTCAGATTTGGCCAACAACTGTCACAGTTGTTTATTTTGACACTATCATCATACTTGAAATTTCAAGTGTTGAGTTTGCGTGGATATACATACGCTATAATATATTTAGAGTTTCTAGATTCTAAAGAAAAGCAATAGAGTTCTGTCCATAAAGTCAGAGAACAAGTGGAATGTTTGTAAAATTTGCAATACGGGTATTTGATTGTATTTTAAATACAAGATTTAAGAAAAAAAAATTCAAATAGGAAAAATAAAAAAGCCAACCCTTGTTTCCTAAATCTCTTGCATATTTTGAAGTGCAGTTACTGCATGCAGGTCACCAGGGCTGTTCTAAACCCTGGGTTTCAGTTCTAGTTCTGGATATTATAGAAATATTAAAAACCCTTTTCCCAGTTGGTCATTCTAAAGACATGCTGCCTGGCCTGAAGTTCTGTTGTCCTTTTTATGTTGGGTTAAAAAACGGTTTTTTTGCCTGTATGGGTATTTTTAAATGAAGCTGTAAGGCAGAATGCCTTAGACCCTTGAAACCCAACAGAAGTGTTGACAAAGAAATTGCCATTTGTAACCTTAGGGCTGTGCACAGAATCCCTGGTCACACCACGAGGCGTGGCAGGCTGGGCATGGGGAGCTGGTGGCAGATGTACAATATTGCTGTGTTCATTTAGGTAGCTATGGAAGAATAATTTTGTCTCTTTGTTTCGCCCTTTTGATCTTTATTAAAACAGCAAAAGTTGTACGCGGAAGAAACTCAACACCTGGAGGCGTTTTTGGTTGTCAGTGTACGCAATCACTTTTCTTACAGCATGATTTTGATTAGACTGGTTGGGGACAATAAAGTATCTAAATGACACTGGTGTGTGCTGATGTTGCAGCTTTTGAAATTTCAATGTAAAAAAAGAAAAAAAAAAAACCAAGAAAAAGAATCTGTAGCTGTGTGACTTCCGAAGGCGTAACCCTCTGTTGGACAGATTGTTTTTAACCTAATAAACCACAGTTCTGCACAGCCCTATTTGTAAAACAAAAACAAGTTTGTGCCTCTGATTCCAAGGTGCTGTGATGTTTTTTGCCTTTGTGGGGCGAGGAGGGGCAGGTGAGGCTGGCGTGGGGCAATTGCTTCAAAATCTCTGGGCTAACTATGCAAAACCAGCTGTCAGTTCTCTGTTTCACATGATGTTGTAAAATCCCAGCTGACTCTCTCTTATTTCTTGTTAAAGATCTATTGGGAGCTCCTCAACAGAGGAGTAAGCAATGGAAATGTTTCTTTCTTTCTTTCTTTTTTTCCTTTTTTTTTTTTCATTATGATGGAGCTGTTTACACTTTGATGCAATGAACAATCCAGCAATACTTGAGAAACACTACAGATACCATATGAGTGTTTGCAGGAGAGAGAAGTGTTGTCAATCAGGTATTGAATGGTTTCTTTACTGTCACAAATAAAAAATTTTAACAATATAGCTACTTGTGCATGTAATACTTCTCTGGGAAAAAGCATTTCTGCCCTTCTCCTTCAGGAACAGGCACTGATTCAGCAGGGAATCACTGCTGCTAATGCACATCCGTGGCAGAGGGTGAAATCACCCATCCCTGTCCCTCCTCCTCCTCCTCTGCCCTCCCAGTCATGGCAGGACTCCTCAGTGGCTGCCCTGGCACCTGCTTGTGCAAGCAGAGCTGATGAACTGCTGATGAACTCTGCTAAATAAATTGGTGGCGACTCTTGCAGATGTTCCAGCTATTTACATCTCTTGGATGAGATCATACAATAATTTGTTCAAGTCTCAAAGCTGTGTGACTTCTTTTGAAGGGCTTACTTCAGCTGCTTGAATAGCTGTTCTTAACATCACTGCCATATCCACATGAATATCTGAATAAAACACTTTATTTGCTTGGAAAAATCTATTTTGGGACTTTTTATCTGACACAGTAAGACTTAGGCAGAGCCTTCCTTTCTAGGAAAGGCACATATTATTGATGCTTTATGAGCACAAAACCTCAGGCCTGTTGGAATTAGCAGCTGGCTCAAGAGAGCACATTAGTTGCAATTAAAAATATTGTTTTAGTTAGTCCTATGATTGGTTGGAAGGACCTGGCCTGCTTTTACTTTGTATTGGTTGGTCAGGTTTTTGATTATTTAGGTTTGGTTTTGTTTTGTTTTTGTTTTTAATTTTACCAATCTCCTTAGCTGCTACTTAGGATAAAGATGAGGATAAAGATGCCTTTCTCCTTTTTTTTATTTTTCACTTGGTAAAACAAGTGTTTCAAAATTCATAAAACAGCTCATTTATGGTGGTGAGAAAGCTCCTGTTGTTGTGTGCTGACAGAAACCAAGTGTCTGCACAACTGAATACACAATAACCTGTACACCTATAGGCTTTCCAATGGGTTTTTCCACCCTTTTGGTTGTTTTTTGACTCAGGAGGAAATCCAAACTGCTCAGCAATTCCCTGCAGGATGGGGTGGGGCTGCTCCAGGTGGGATGCAGCCTCCAGCAGCTTTCCTGGCAAGCAGCATTTGCCATCCAGACTATCCAGACTTCCACCAGCCCAGCCACGCTGGCAGGAGCCCAGGAACGTTCTGGAAAGTTCTGGATTCTGCTGGAGAAGCAGGGATCTGTGGGTAGCTCTGGTTTGGACAGGTGGCAGCCCTGGAAAGCTGCAGGAGTTCTGTTGGAAGGAGCTGTGCTGGGAGCAGGGTGTCCATGGTTTTGGGAAGGAGCTGTGCTGGGAGCAGGGTGTCCATGGCTGGAGAGGGTGTCCATGGTTGAGGCCGTGTCCAGGGCATTTCTGAGGGACACTCAGGGCTCAGAGTGGCTCCACAGGGCAGGGTCCCCCTGCACTGCACCCCAAAGTCAAAAGGGGAGGATTGGCCATGGCTAAAAGGGGCTCACAAGGAGTTTGGGAGGAGGTGGCTGTGGCTGTATCCCCCATGGTGCCTGCCATGCTCTCTCCAAAGCAGCATCGCTCAGTTTTGCACCCAGGCTTTGATTCCATGACATGGACACCCGTGGTGGGGATGGAAAGGCAGGAAAAGCTGGACACGAGCACAGCTGGCACCCATCACCCTCCTCACCCCAGCAAGGACCAAGCTGCTGCTGCTCAGAGGAAGCAGAGGAGTCACCGCTCAGCCAGACACGTGTCACCCCCTGGAGAACCTCTGTCACCCCCTGGAGAACCTCTCTGTCCCTCCAGATAATGAGGGGTGATCCTTTTGTCCCTACAAACGTGATGTCACCGCCTCTGAATTCCCAGCCTTGCAATAAATGTTGCACTCAGAAGCTCGAGGGGGTTGTTGGGGAGTTGCTGGCTTGACAATGGGTTGTTTTCTTTGATTTTTTAATGAGCTTTTGTGATGGAAACCAAATTTCTTTACAGTGTAACCTTGTAATTTTTTTTTCATGCTTTGATTCAGTTTGACAATAAACTATCTGTGTTATTTTTTTTTTCATTCTCTTCATGTCTGATAATGCAAATAGTTTAGGTCTGTTCCCAGAAATCCCCTTTTCTCTGTCCTCATGCCATTCTCTGTGGGGAAAGCATTGGGAGGGGGAAGCAAAGACTTCAGAGAATCAGGCCAGAAAGTTCTCATTCCATTCTTCTCAGCTCTTGGGAGCTGCTGGGCTTTAGTAAAGATGAAAGCCTTGACTGCTGAGCACCAAGGCCTTCTTTCCGTGCCAGCAGATTTGGCAGAAAGGCTCAGCTCCTGTTCCTTTTGGTGAACCTGCTGAGGTTTGGATAAATCCATCTGGCTGCTTTCCAAAGCCACTGGAGCCTGTAAGATGGAGCTGAGAAAAGGAGCAAGGCCTGGGTTTTGGGAGAGGGTGAGGGGGCAGGAGGAAACCTGATGGTGGCTGGGGGGGTTCTGTACAAACCCCTTGCAGTCCCTGCATGCAGCATCCCTTGTGTCATGACATTCCCAGCATCCCTGAAGCTGTTTAGTTCCTCACCAGTTTGGTTCTGCTTGTCCTGGGTTTTTAGGGATAAATGGGGCTGAGAGTGGATCAGGATCGCTGCCCTTCTCCCAGGCTGTGGTGTCACCTCTCTGTGACAGTGCCTGCTGTGAGTGCTGCTCTTGGGCAGCTCGCCTGGCACAGGTCTTGGGTCACCCAGTCTGCAGCAAACATTGATGCCCTGAGGGAAAGGAGAGGCTGGGGGAGCTGCTGGAGCTGGATGGGGTCAAGGTGCCC